ATATTCTCAGTACATAATGCAAACCATATTCTTGATATTAGGACATTTATACGGTGAGATTTTTATCTACATAAACAAAAAGAACTATAAACAAAATCGCAAACTAATTAATTTCCTTTTTATTAGGACAATATTGTTTAATACTCTATATAATTTCTCCTATCTAACTTATTTATCATATGCAAACTAACCACTCTTTAGATGTTAGGACAATGACAAATATATCATGCCAAGAAATACGCAAACTAACTCTTATTTTCAACTGTTAGGACGATTTCCGTTTCAACATGATGTTGGTATTCGTTTCCGACTGGGCGCCATTTATTGTTACGAAACCTTCTGTGTTCTTTTGGTGATCTACGATGCCGCCTCTACTAGCTCAGTCTTCGGCGTGGGATCTCAACCCGCATCTACACCAACTGTGGTTCGTCACAACAAAAAAAATAAATATCTAACTACCTAACTTCACTCAATTTCATTTCCATATAACACAAACATTTAATCCACATTTATAACAAAATAATGTTCTCTGGACACTGGGACAGTCTGTAAACAAATGACCTGGCAATCTGCAGTTCCAACACAGTATTCTGTCAGTATTGATGTTATTAGTTTTCCTGTAAGTACTGTCAGTTTTATATCTTATTTCCTCCAATGATTCCGTTTCCTTTTCTCCATCGATTCTTATTTCTACTTCCTCTACTTGTCTTCTCTGTGGTACGAACCTGGTTTGTGGAGTATTGAAAGTTTGTTTGCGAAAATAATTCCTTTCAACATCCTTACAAGTATCACGCAGATGTTCCACCGAAAATACTTGGACTGAGTAAACGATTTGCGATATACTTTGTCTTACGTTTCGCTTTATTATTCTTATCACCTCATATTCTGGTAATGGATTTTTCAACCGTGCCCTTAGTCTTCGCATAGCTAAGAAATAGTCATCTATAGATTCACCTGGATGTTGTTTACGTTCCTCAAAGTCTCTCAAAAGCTCATACTCTGATCTTATAGAGCCGTATTGAACTCTGAGTGCCTTCTTTAATTCCTCCCAGGATTCGATGGATCTTTGTTGGACTAGTAACCAGTACCAGTCCTTCGCATCTCCCTTTAAGAGTTTATGGAATTCTCCCTGTACATCTTGCCATGCATAATTATGGTATTTTAGCATATATTCGATGCGAAATATGAAATCATCGATATACAATTTTTCCATATTTCCATCGAAACTAATGTCCCATTTGTCTACGCTGGTTAGATTTCTAATTGGTCTATTATTTGGATAATCATTCTTTGGGGATACGTTTTCAAGAGGAGTATCAATGTTTGAATTTGATTCCCTAAAATCTAACCGTCTTTGTGGATATGGTTTATTCCCCGGCTTTCCCTTTGTAGGTGCCATTTCTATTGTAGATCGTTTTTCAACTTCTTCACTAGCTAACGATTCAACACCGTCGCTTATTCTACTAGTTACGTTCATTTTCTGTATTTCCCTAATCATTTTACCAAAACCTTCTTCCAAGCTTTCCTTTATCTTTAAATCTATTTTGTCTTCGAGTTCTGATCTGTAATCTTTAATATTTTCAGCAATAATTTCCCGGATAAGACCAGCATAAACTCTAGGATTATTTCCCGGTGAAAAACCTTTTCGATTTTGAGGAATATTCGGAGGTGAAAAATTGTATTTTCCCGGAGGAACTGATGTTTTTGGAATAGCTCCGGTTTGTTGATTAGGAACTACTGTAGGTGTTTGCGACTGTATATTATCTGATTGGTGAGTTTGTGGTGTTAAAATAGTAGCTGACATATCTATAATGTTTCCTTGTTCAATAGGTTCCCTATCAGTATTCATTGGTGTTCTCCCTAATGGCATTTTAATAATCTTTCTTTTTAAAAATTCTAATTTATTGGTTTTTTTAATACTTTCTGTATTTTAAAGGAATAAGTATCTTAAAAATATAATAAACAAATACATAAATTAATGAACGATACTAATGAACTAACATAAATAAAACATAAATGAAAACAATATACATATACTTAATTATATTTTTAGAAAGTTCACTTTTTTAATAAAGCACGATTACAACATAAAATTCACACAATACAAAACTAATTTTTGACATGAAATTACATAAAATACAATTAACATTTAATACTACACTAATTAAACCAAATTAAAATAAAATTACACAAAACACAGATGACACAATAAGGTTACAAAATTTTCACAAAGAAATTACAAAAATTTATAATACTATCAAAAAATATATTTTAAAATTTTATAAAACACTATAACATAAAATTACAGGAACAGTGGATTTCCAGTAGATGTAAAAGCTGTTTTGGTGGTTGATGTTGTAATGTTAAATATGTTTCTGACGGTATCCAAAAAAAAATGTTGTGTTCTATAATGACTTGCTTTCATATATTTTCCCTAATAATATTGAAATTTGCAAACTAAATCTTATTTTCAAATTTAGGACATATTTCAATTTACTCAATAATATTCTCAGTACATAATGCAAACTATATTCTTGATATTAGGACATTTATACGGTGAGATTTTTATCTACATAAACAAAAAGAACTATAAACAAAATCGCAAACTAATTAATTTCCTTTTTATTAGGACAATATTGTTTAATACTCTATATAATTTCTCCTATCTAACTTATTTATCATATGCAAACTAACCACTCTTTAGATGTTAGGACAATGACAAATATATCATGCCAAGAAATACGCAAACTAACTCTTATTTTCAACTGTTAGGACGATTTCCGTTTCAACATGATGTTGGTATTCGTTTCCGACTGGGCGCCATTTATTGTTACGAAACCTTCTGTGTTCTTTTGGTGATCTACGATGCCGCCTCTACTAGCTCAGTCTTCGGCGTGGGATCTCAACCCGCATCTACACCAACTGTGGTTCGTCACAACAAAAAAAATAAATATCTAACTACCTAACTTCACTCAATTTCATTTCCATATAACACAAACATTTATAAATTATGGGTAAAGATGTTAATCCCATCTTCGTCGCCCACCCTACCTTGGTCACTTATCCCATTAATGACCCCTTTCATATTCTTGTTCTTATACACATATTTAACAACTCACCATATCACCAACTTACACATCTTCGGCCCACTGTACCTGTAACTGCACAAAATTTAGCAACACATTTTTATAACAAAATTTCTTTTCAAATCACATTTATTACATTTAATACTTAAAATAAACATCAATATAACTTAAACTGACAGGTATGATTTCTATATATATAGCAAAAGGTCTTTTAAATTTCAAATTGTCAAAATACGTTATTTTTTTTTTTAAATTATTTATATTCTTAGTTAATTGCCTAATAATTATTTTATCTTTTGTTTCCGGGTTTTCCAGCTAACATAAAGAACATTTAAGTTCAAACGAACGGTTACTTTAACCAATAATAATTTTTCCTTTTCTAATTTTCCTCTTTTTTTTTTTTTATTTGAAATAGCTCATAAAATTTCGCTTTTTACAATTGTTTTCAATTGTTTTAACCAAACAATGAAAATCGACACACGCTATTTATTCAGTTTTTCTATAAACTTGAATAATAGAATGGGTTTTCAAGATTTAAGTAAATTTTTTTTTTTTTTGTTTCCTATATAAGGATGATAAAAACTAATTTCTTTTCTAATACTAAACTTAATCTATATAAAATTAATGACTAAACAAAAAAACATTTAACCTATACAAATAACACAATCAAACTAAATAAGGATCAACTAAAACAACTTTCTATTGAGTTTCAAAACTTTACTCACTATTTTAAAACGTTAAATTTCTATATTTTTTTTTTCTCAAATCCCTAAAGGAGCTCCCTGAAGGATGAAACTTTTGAGGCTCTAATATACTATTCCTCGCCTTCTTTTTTTTTTTTTTTTTTTCGAAAATTACTATTATTGTATTTAGTTCGATCCCTTCACAAACAAAGAAAATATCAAACTTAACAATTATATTTCTTAAAAATTAAAAGCCTAAACTTATTCTAAACAAATTAATTATATATAACTTAACCTAACCTAACTCGTATTACCCTAATGCCTTTTTGCTATAAAGTCAATTTTATTTTGTGGAACGTATTCGCAGGTTCTGATTCTGATTAATGGTTCTGATCCAGGGTTTCTTATAGAATTACTTTTCAACTCAAATGTGACTTGTAGATGACGTGTGTTATTATACCACTACTGGGCTACCAATGTAATTTTAAATATATATATATATATATAAAGAACAGTATTACCTCCAAATTTGAATTTGAATATTCTACTCCCAGAATAGGTGTCGTATGGACTTTTCCGCAAGGTTCATGAGTTATTCTCATACAATTCCCCGTCTGCTTGTCCTATTCTCCCTATGACACGTTTCTATTTTATTAAATATAAAAAAAATATTCATCATTTCAAAACTAATCACCTTATTTTACTCTAACGTTTTTATTTTTTTCTTTTTACTCACTGGTTTCTTTGAATATTCACTATTTCTGGTATATCTGGAAGGCACTTGTACCTGTTGTCAATATATTATTGAACAGTTTATATTCAATATGTTCACCTTATTGTTATATTTAAATGTAATTGGTACACACTTGTTTCACTTGTGAGTTACTTTCTATATCTGATTGAAATTAACTTTAATTTTCCTAAAAAAACACACAAGAAAGTAACGGACAATTTGTACAAACAAATATTATATATAAAAAAAAACAACGTTTTCTTTTCTTTTCCCAGAGCACTTTGTACATTTGTCATATTTGGGTCATTGTACTATTGCCTTTGGCCTTGAAGTTGCCTTTTTTTTTTATTAAGAGAAGACCTTTTATCTAACTCTCTTCCTTCCATCATATTCCCTATCCGGCAACCCTATTTTTATAAATCATCTTAATATTTGAGTCACCCTATTGATGTTTATTTTTTTGACATGTCAACAACAAAGAATAAACATTGAACAACTAAGAAAACAAACAAAAGCGAAACAACACAATTCAACATGCAAAGACCAAAATTTCATTTACACAATTCAATAACAAAAGAAAAACCACGCACAGGAACATTCAACCCAACAAAACTCAAAACGACACCACAAAAACCTTCCACACACAAGAATCTACAAAAAAAACAACAACACACAACATGCAACCAGCACACCAGGGACCAAGAAGACCGCCCAGATTCCCAATCTACCTCAACAAAACTCTGGCGTACCCAGATGCTTCGCAGGAACGACAGTGGGAGGTAAGATTGTTTAAATCCTTCAGCGCCCAACGTAGGCTACACCCACCATTCTACATCTAAAGAGTTAGCCGGGCAATCCTCCACGAATGTTCAACCTAGGAATGTATTTCAATTTACTGTGTCTTGTATGAATATGAGTGGACCTTCCAATTTTCACTGGTACCATTTTAGTTACAAAGGACCTTAAACACTGGACGAAGAACAATATTTGTATAATCAAGGAGGAAATAATCAACACATCAATGACAAAACACAAATCTTAACCTAATATTGCACACATAAATATTGCACTCGTAAGTAAAAATTTGATTATTTGTCACTAATATATTGCACATTTGATCCTTATAAACTATATTGCACTTTATTATATTCATTGTTTAATATCCTTTGCGTGGAAAATACCTAATGGAGTACCTGATAAGGTTTCCAATTCATACATATTGTTTCCTATCACCTTCACAATCCTACATTTAGTAAATTTTTTACAAAATTTAGCATTAATGTTGTTCTTAAAGTTGCTAAGTAGAAAATTTCTTTTGTAAACTTCCTGTCCAGGAACAAATTTAACTATTCTCGCCCCACGGTTATATCTTAAAGCACTTTTCTTATATGCATTATCCAGGTTCTCTTTCATTTTGTCTCTTATTAGTTTTATTCTATCAGAGTTTTCAATTATGGTTTCATTATCATCCAAAGCTTTCAATTGTCTTGCTAACTTGTAGTCCGAACCGCAAGTGAACATATTTTGTCCAAACAACGCGAAGAATGGACTACAACCTGTTGCAGAATGCCAAGATGTGCGCAAAGACAACTCAATATCCGGTAAGTTAATATCCCACTCCCTGTGATCATTTTCCATATATGCTCTGATGGCAGACAAAACACTCTGATTTACTCTCTCAGAAGCGTTTGATTGTGGAGAGTAAACTGCAGTTCTTAGATGTGTTATCTGATATGTTTCAATCATTCTCGCAAATTCTTTGGAAGTAAATTGTTGTCCATTGTCTGAATGAATAACCTCTGGTACACCAAATATATGGAAAACTTGATCTTTTAGAAATATCACAACATTTGCCGTTGTAGCTTCTTTCATTGCCTTTAAAAATACGAACTTGGTCATATGATCAACTACTATGAAAATATAAGCATTTCCGCTTTTAGATCTTGGATATTTACCAAGAAAATCAATGTAAATCTTTTGAAAAGGTCTATCTGTTGTTACTTGTTTTCCTATTTCCGGTCTCAATATAGTATTTGTAGGTTTCGTTTCCTTACAGGTTGTACAATTTCTTATATAATGTTTGGCCTGAGTTACCATATTAGGCCAGTAGTATTTTGTTCTTAAACGTTGCAAGGTTTTGTTGATACCTCCGTGAGCTTCGTCTTCTGGTTCATGAGATTCACTAATCAGTATGTGTGTTAATGAACTTGGAATCCATAATTTCCACTCAAATTCTTGTAGTTCATAATCAGTTATATTTCTCTTAAATACTAAGTCATTCATTATCTTTATATCCGGCAATTTCTCTTGATTTTTCCTAACAGTATCTAATAAATCTTTGTACTCATCCGACTCGAATTCTAACGTTTCAAAACCTAATATTTTTCCTCTATCTATTTCTATTGACTCAACCAATCTTGATAACGTGTCTGCTACAATGTTCTCTGCTCCCTTACAATGTTCAAAAAAAAAATCATAACTTTGTAACTGCAAAGCCCATTTAGCTAACCTTCCATTTAAATCTTTTAGTGACATCAGCCACTTTAAGCTCGCATGGTCTGTTATCACCGTAAAAGGCATCAGTTCAATGTATGGTCTGAATCTTTTAATGGCTAGGACAGCAGCTAAGCATTCCTTTTCGGTAACGCTGTAGTTTTTTTGTGCTTCTATGAGCTTTTGTGAAAAAAATGAAATGGGTTTTTCGTTGCCGAACTCGTCCTTTTGGAACAACACCGCATAATCCGAAGCGTCACATTGCACGAAAAATCGCTTGTTGAAATTCGGATGTGCTAATACAGGTGCTGTTGTTAACGCATTTTTCAACTTGTTAAAACTTTCGATTGCCTTTTCTGTCATTTCAAATTTAGTTCCTTTCTTTATGAGATCAGATAGTGGTGCGGTTAAAGAAGAGAAGTCGCGAATAAAGCGGCGGTACCAACCCGCCGTACCTAAGAAACTGCGGATTTCTTTTACGGATTTAGGCAACGGTATATTTCGGATTGCTTCTATTTTCTTGGGATCCGTTTTCATAATTCCTGCTCCTACGATAAATCCTAAATAATTAAGTTCTTTAAAACAGAATTTTGATTTGCTTAGGCAATCAATCTGCTACTTTCTCTAACAACTCTAAATGTTTATCAAAGTCTGCTGATATGATCAACAAATCATCTAGATAGGTGAAAACATTCTGCCTTAACTCTTGCGGTATAACCCTATCTATTAGCCTACACAGTCTTTGCGCCGCGTTGCATAAACCAAATGGCATTACAACATATAGGTATAGTGGTCGGCCTGGAATCGTAAAAGCTGTGTATGTTCTCGATTTCTCTTCCAGTTTGATTTGCCAGAAAGCGAATTTTAAATCGACACTGCTGATATAAAAGGTCTCGTCAAGTCTACTTAGAATTCCCTCAATGTTTTGTATGGGATAAGCATCCTTGATTGTCCTGTCGTTTAATTTCCTAGCATCTAGACATAGTCGATTTTTTTCTGGTTTTCTAACTAGAGTACATCTATTGCTCCAAGGACTGTTGCTCTCTTCTATAATACCTAATTTCAACATATTATCTACTTCGGCATATATTAATTCCTGAACAGCCGGTGATACCGGATAGTATCTATCCTTGACTGGTGTTGTGTTATCTATAAGCTCAATAGTGTGAACTTCTAGATTAGTTCTACCTAAACCATCTCTCTCAAAAGTTCGAAATTTGTTTACAACATTTACTAACTTATCCTTCTGTCGAGCAGTTAGTTCATGTTGTTCTACATCTTTCAATTCAAGAGGATAATGGTCCTTCAAATTATCAAATTGTATTTCCGATAATTGAAACAAATTTGGGGCTATATTGAATTTCATCCAGAAATCTACACCTAAATAAGCATTTTGTATTAAATTAGGACATAAGTAGAATTCTATTATATTCTTTTTTTCATTATATTCTACCATAACATCAATTTTCCCCAGAACTTGATAGTGTTTTCCACCTGCAGTTTGTATGTTAGCAAAAGTTGGTTTTATTGGACTATTTAGCTTGTCTACAATCTTTTCGCAGTTTTTTCCAAGCAGACTTATCGAGGCTCCACTATCCAAGAGACCTTTTACTAATATATTCTCTAATTTTATCTCGACAAAGGCTCTAGGATCGATATCATAGTTGTTTATATCATCACATTTTCTGATTACATTGCCTATTTCATCACAAAGTGCTTTTTTACTTTTAAATCTTTTCCTAGTTCTTTTGATTCTATCCAGTTTTGTATTGTCATTTTCCGTATTAAAAATCCTATTTCTAACTTCCATGTATCTTTTCAAACGCTCATCATATGATCCTACTATTCTTCTATTCTTATTTTCCTGTACTACTTTCATATCACTTTTCCTCACTATTATTACTTTCTCATCTTCCATTTTACTCTTTTCAGGTTCACTCACATCACATTGAATGCCTACATTGGCTGTTGTTCGGCTATAGTTTGGGTGGAGCGTGACTCCGCCGCTTTCGTCACACTCCCTATCTTGTTTCCCGAACATTTGGGACAATTAGGAGTAACAACACCTGTTAATCCACATTTATAACAAAATAATGTTCTCTGGACACTGGGACAGTCTGTAAACAAATGACCTGGCAATCTGCAGTTCCAACACAGTATTCTGTCAGTATTGATGTTATTAGTTTTCCTGTAAGTACTGTCAGTTTTATATCTTATTTCCTCCAATGATTCCGTTTCCTTTTCTCCATCGATTCTTATTTCTACTTCCTCTACTTGTCTTCTCTGTGGTACGAACCTGGTTTGTGGAGTATTGAAAGTTTGTTTGCGAAAATAATTCCTTTCAACATCCTTACAAGTATCACACAGATGTTCCACCGAAAATACTTGGACTGAGTAAACGATTTGCGATATACTTTGTCTTACGTTTCGCTTTATTATTCTTATCACCTCATATTCTGGTAATGGATTTTTCAACCGTGCCCTTAGTCTTCGCATAGCTAAGAAATAGTCATCTATAGATTCACCTGGATGTTGTTTACGTTCCTCAAAGTCTCTCAAAAGCTCATACTCTGATCTTATAGAGCCGTATTGAACTCTGAGTGCCTTCTTTAATTCCTCCCAGGATTCGATGGATCTTTGTTGGACTAGTAACCAGTACCAGTCCTTCGCATCTCCCTTTAAGAGTTTATGGAATTCTCCCTGTACATCTTGCCATGCATAATTATGGTATTTTAGCATATATTCGATGCGAAATATGAAATCATCGATATACAATTTTTCCATATTTCCATCGAAACTAATGTCCCATTTGTCTACGCTGATTAGATTTCTAATTGGTCTATTATTTGGATAATCATTCTTTGGGGAAACGTTTTCAAGAGGAGTATCAATGTTTGAATTTGATTCCCTAAAATCTAACCGTCTTTGTGGATATGGTTGATTCCCCGGATTCCCCTTTGTAGGTGCCATTTCTATTGTAGATCGTTTTTCAACTTCTTCACTAGCTAACGATTCAACACCGTCGCTTATTCTACTAGTTACGTTCATTTTCTGTATTTCCCTAATCATTTTACCAAAACCTTCTTCCAAGCTTTCCTTTATCTTTAAATCTATTTTGTCTTCGAGTTCTGATCTGTAATCTTTAATATTTTCAGCAATAATTTCCCGGATAAGACCAGCATAAACTCTAGGATTATTTCCCGGTGAAAAACCTTTTCGATTTTGAGGAATATTCGGAGGTGGAAAATTGTATGTTCCCGGAGGAACTGATGTTTTTGGAATTGCTCCGGTTTGTTGATTAGGAACTACTGTAGGTGTTTGCGACTGTATATTATCTGATTGGTGAGTTTGTGGTGTTAAAATAGTAGCTGACATATCTATAATGTTTCCTTGTTCAATAGGTTCCCTATCAGTATTCATTGGTGTTCTCCCTAATGGCATTTTAATAATCTTTCTTTTTAAAAATTCTAATTTATTGGTTTTTTTAATACTTTCTGTATTTTAAAGGAATAAGTATCTTAAAAATATAATAAACAAATACATAAATTAATGAACGATACTAATGAACTAACATAAATAAAACATAAATGAAAACAATATACATATACTTAATTATATTTTTAGAAAGTTCACTTTTTTAATAAAGCACGATTACAACATAAAATTCACACAATACAAAACTAATTTTTGACATGAAATTACATAAAATACAATTAACATTTAATACTACACTAATTAAACCAAATTAAAATAAAATTACACAAAACACAGATGACACAATAAGGTTACAAAATTTTCACAAAGAAATTACAAACATTTATAATACTATCAAAAAATATATTTTAAAATTTTATAAAACACTATAACATAAAATTACAGGAAGAGTGGATTTCCAGTAGATGTAAAAGCTGTTTTGGTGGTTGATGTTGTAATGTTAAATATGTTTCTGACGGTATCCAAAAAAAAATGTTGTGTTCTATAATGACTTGCTTTCATATATTTTCCCTAATAATATTGAAATTTGCAAACTAAATCTTATTTTCAAATTTAGGACATATTTCAATTTACTCAATAATATTCTCAGTACATAATGCAAACTATATTCTTGATATTAGGACATTCATACGGTGAGATTTTTATCTACATAAACAAAAAGAACTATAAACAAAATCGCAAACTAATTAATTTCCTTTTTATTAGGACAATTTTGTTTAATACTCTATATAATTTCTCCTATCTAACTTATTTATCATATGCAAACTAACCACTCTTTAGATGTTAGGACAATGACAAATATATCATGCCAAGAAATACGCAAACTAACTCTTATTTTCAACTGTTAGGACGATTTCCGTTTCAACATGATGTTGGTATTCGTTTCCGACTGGGCGCCATTTATTGTTACGAAACCTTCTGTGTTCTTTTGGTGATCTACGATGCCGCCTCTACTAGCTCAGTCATCGGCGTGGGATCTCAACCCGCATCTACACCAACTGTGGTTCGTCACAACAAAAAAAATAAATATCTAACTACCTAACTTCACTCAATTTCATTTCCATATAACACAAACATTTATAAATTATGGGTAAAGATGTTAATCCCATCTTCGTCGCCCACCCTACCTTGGTCACTTATCCCATTAATGACCCCTTTCATATTCTTGTTCTTATACACATATTTAACAACTCACCATATCACCAACTTACACATCTTCGGCCCACTGTACCTGTAACTGCACAAAATTTAGCAACACATTTTTATAACAAAATTTCTTTTCAAATCACATTTATTACATTTAATACTTAAAATAAACATCAATATAACTTAAACTAACAGGTATGATTTCTATATATATAGCAAAAGGTCTTTTAAATTTCAAATTGTCAAAATACGTTATTTTTTTTTAAATTATTTATATTCTTAGTTAATTGCCTAATAATTATTTTATCTTTTGTTTCCGGGTTTTCCAGCTAACATAAAGAACATTTAAGTTCAAACGAACGGTTACTTTAACCAATAATAATTTTTCCTTTTCTAATTTTCCTCTTTTTTTTTTTTAATTTGAAATAGCTCATAAAATTTTGCTTTTTCCAATTGTTTTAACCAAACAATGAAAATCGACACACGCTATTTATTCAGTTTTTCTATAAACTTGAATAATAGAATGGGTTTTCAAGATTTAAGTAAATTTTTTTTTTTGTTTCCTATATAAGGATGATATTAAAAACTAATTTCTTTTCTAATACTAAACTTAATCTATATAAAATTAATGACTAAACAAAAAAAACATTTAACCTATACAAATAACACAATCAAACTAAATAAGGATCAACTAAAACAACTTTTCTATTGAGTTTCAAAACTTTACTCACTATTTTAAAACGTTAAATTTCTATATTTTTTTTTTCTCAAATCCCTAAAGGAGCTCCCTGAAGGATGAAACTTTTGAGGCTCTAATATACTATTCCTCGCCTTCTTTTTTTTTTTTTTTTCGAAAATTACTATTATTGTATTTAGTTCGATCCCCTCACAAACAAAGAAAATATCAAACTTAACAATTATATTTCTTAAAAATTAAAAGCCTAAACTTATTCTAAACAAATTAATTATATATAACTTAACCTAACCTAACTCGTATTACCCTAATGCCTTTTTGCTATAAAGTCAATTTTATTTTGTGGAACGTATTCGCAGGTTCTGATTCTGATTAATGGTTCTGATCCAGGGTTTCTTATAGAATTACTTTTCAACTCAAATGTGACTTGTAGATGACGTGTGTTATTATACCACTACTGGGCTACCAATGTAATTTTAAATATATATATATATATAAAGAACAGTATTACCTCCAAATTTGAATTTTAATATTCTACTCCCAGAATAGGTGTCGTATGGACTTTTCCGCAAGGTTCATGAGTTATTCTCATACAATTCCCCGTCTGCTTGTCCTATTCTCCCTATGACACGTTTCTATTTTATTAAATATAAAAAAAAATATACATCATTTCAAAACTAATCACCTTATTTTACTCTAACGTTTTTATTTTTTTCTTTTTACTCACTGGTTTCTTTGAATATTCACTATTTCTGGTATATCTGGAAGGCACTTGTACCTGTTGTCAATATATTCTTGAACAGTTTATATTCAATATGTTCACCTTATTGTTATATTTAAATGTAATTGGTACACACTTGTTTCACTTGTGAGTTACTTTCTATATCTGATTGAAATTAACTTTAATTTTCCTAAAAAACCACACAAGAAAGTAACGGACAATTTGTACAAACAAATATTATATATAAAAAAAAAAACAACGTTTTCTTTTCTTTTCCCAGAGCACTTTGTACATTTGTCATATTTGGGTCATTGTACTATTGCCTTTGGCCTTGAAGTTGCCTTTTTTTTTTATTAAGAGAAGACCTTTTATCTAACTCTCTTCCTTCCATCATATTCCCTATCCGGCAACCCTATTTTTATAAATCATCTTAATATTTGAGTCACCCTATTGATGTTTATTTTTTTGACATGTCAACAACAAAGAATAAACATTGAACAACTAAGAAAACAAAGAAAAGCGAAACAACACAATTCAACATGCAAAGACCAAAATTTCATTTACACAATTCAATAACAAAAGAAAAACCACGCACAGGAACATTCAACCCAACAAAACTCAAAACGACACCACAAAAACCTTCCACACACAAGAATCTACAAAAAAAAACAACAACACACAACATGCAACCAGCACACCAGGGACCAAGAAGACCGCCCAGATTCCCAATCTACCTCAATCCTGAATCTCGCCGTTATCTGGGGTCCTCTAAAAACTGATTTCAACAAACACACAGACGGACAGACAAACGGACATAGCTTAATCAACTCTGCTACCTATAAGGATCCACAGTATATATACTTTATAGGGTCGGAAAATTATATTATATATACTTATATATATATACCCTTCTCACGAAGGTGAAGGGTATAAAAATACTTCACATTAGAGGTCATCATTCAGAGAAAAGATATGTTTAACTTTGGAGAAATTGAAATTGGTAATAAATCACCTCAAATTACATTGAACAATCTAAAAAAGTTGTACATTCAAATGAGTGCCCGGGAAATGATGACATTTGTGGATCCATTTTCATAAATGGTAGGAGATCTTATCCCCGAGGAAGATGAAGTTTGGTGTTTTTTTCTAAGGTTTCTTGAAATTATTGATATAATAACTTCGTACGAGATTTCAATAGACATGGCTAAGGTTAGGTTAGGTTGATAGGAGGATGTATACTACATCAAATCCGAAGAAATACACCTAGGCCACTATCGGGCCTGTTGTGCGCTCCAATTCATGAAAAAAAATGTTATTTTTCCATGTTCAGAAACTCAGTTTCCTGGACGTAATTCCTAAGAATCTTCCAATCAGTGTTGGTTAAGAATGTCGGACGTGCCTGGTATGCGATCAGAAGATTCCTAAGAATCTTCCAATCAGTGTTGGTTAAGAATATCGGACGTGCCTGGTATGCGATCAGGCACGTCCGATGAATGTGTATAACCTTCCAATGTGTCCTGTATACATAGATGACGTGTCCTATAACCGTTTTTGGTCAGTTCGCCTAAAGTAAAGAGCCACTCGGCTGTAAGCGCCGCCTCATATCTTATATATGTTTCAATGGGTGGAATATCTAGCAACGTTTCCAGAGCCTTGGTTGAAGTAGTACACATGGCAGCACTTATACCCAAGCAGCATGTACGCTGAACTCCCTGTAGTAGTTTGATATTACACTTTTTGTCCAAAGCAGTCCACCAGATTATTGAAGAATAAGCTAGAATTGGTCTAATTACACTTTTATAAAGCCAATTTGTCATAGTAGGACTATGGTTCTCCTACATATCGCCCAGCACCGATGTGCCTTGTTGATCCTATCCTCTATGTGGTGTCTCCATTTTAATTTCCGGTCAAGTATTACACCTAAGTACTTAACTTTGTCTGTCACCGGTATCTTCTTGCCCAGGAAGCAAGGTTCAGTATATGTAGAAATTTTTGTCTTTCTTGTGAAAAGACAGATTTTCGTCTTCGCCGGGTTAACATTGAGGCCTCTTGGTTGAGCCCACCTCAAGGCCGTATTCAAAAGTGCCGGGAAAATGCCATCCGGCCCTGCAGCTTTATAGGG